TCATATAAATGAGACAGAAATTGGTTGCAAAGGCCATGAGTTTCGAGGAGGCCACAGGGCACAGCCAGCTCTATCCTGACAGAGTTCCTAAGCTTGTGGCATAAATTACAATAGAATTTGCAAAGTGCTATCTATTGACTACTCACTTGATCCTTGTTTGAAGGAGCCCATTTAATCCTCCAACACCTTCAGAGGTCAGCACTGTGACATGACCCCATTCACCTTGAGAGGGAGTGCTCAAAGGGGCTAAGTGGCTGGCCCAGCTTCCCTCTACTGGGTGCTGAGTATCCTGGGAACACATCAGCTGTGCTGTCTGGGGTGGGTGCGGGAAGCTGGCTGTATCAGGGTAAGCATCTCAGAGGGGGTGATACTAGAACTGAGGCTGGAGAAGTGAGAGTGCACCAAGGTGCATTTCAGGCTGAAGGGACTGAATATGCAAACGTGAATCAACCTGTTCAAGGACTGGGGATGCTGAGCCCTCTCAGAGCAGAGTTGCTAGGATCCAACCTAGCTCACAGGTTGGGGTCTCATGCAGGATCCTCCTGTCAATGTTCCTCACTGTGCAATGGGAAGCCATCGAAGGACACTGAGTAGGGGAGTAACTTGGTTAAGCTTTCATTTTAGATAAGTCTTCTAAGGTTGGGGAGAGGATGGGATAGGGGGAGGAGGAGGAGAAGGTACTGGCTGGAAAGCTGTGTGGGGAGTTAGAGTATCCAGCCAAGCAGAGAGGAGACGGAAGGGAGGAAGGAAGAGGAAGGAGGGAGGTGATGGGTAGGAGAGAGGGAAAGAAGAGGAGGGCGGAGGAAAGGAAGAGAAGGCACAGAAGAAAGAGGGAGAAGAGGGGAGGAGGAGGAAGGAAAAGGGAGGTGGGAGTTCTAAGTCAAGGAAGGCAATGAGGTGGGCAGAGGTGGAGATGGGACCTGCCTGGTCCTGACTCCTCAGCAGAGCCGTCAAGTGTCTATGTGCAGGAGGAAAGCCTGGTGTCCTCTGTGCGTCCCCAGCCCTGCACAGATGTGACCCATCCTGTGTGGAATGGAATGACTAACTGACATACTTGTGTCTCCCATGTGATTCAGCTGCATCTGAGGGTGCTGCATCCCAATGAGCAGGGCATGGCGGTCAGACGAGGGTCCCAAACACTGGCCATGACCTACCTCTGAGTGCTTCCCACAGTGTGGAGGCCAGAGGGCAGAGGAAAGCTGAAGATTTTCCAAGACTTCTTGAGCAATGTGGGTCATCCCTACCCCCCCACCCCCCGTGGGTGAGAGGGTGCCTCCCATTCAGCTCTGGGTGTGTTGAAGGACAGAGAACAGACTATAAAGCTGCTGTACAAGGTTTTTTCTTTGTTGTCATGGTTGGTTTTGTACACTTGTACTTAGCATTTGCGTCATACAAAGGGGGGAGCAACAGCCATGGCTTTTGGTCAGGTTCAGGGGGGCGAGAGGGGCTGCCCCTCCCCTCCCCCCAGGCACTGACACATTTAAAGGAAGCAGAGCAACAAGGACACAGCAAATGTGGGAAAGGGAGTCCCCTGCAAGAGCAGGATGGTCGCCCTCAGGAGGTGGCACTGGGCCCCACCCACTGCCCCAGGAAGGGAGGGGCATTTGGTGCCTGGGAGATGATCCCCTCTGAGCCAGTGGGACTCCCAGCCTCCCTTTGCAGACAGGCTCCGTGGGACCCTACAAAGATAGGCAAGTGAACAACCCTGATAGCGGGTGCTGGGGGCCCTTGAGGGTGGGAAGTCCACCGCACCATGCTCCAGGCACAAGCCTGGGTGGGTGTCTGCTTGGTCCATCAGCTGTCCCACTTGTGAGGGTCTTGGGTAGAAAAACTTCTGTTCTCGGTCTCTATATCTGTGTCTTTCTCCTTTTCTCCCTCTTACGCCTGATTCCCTCTCTCTGAGGGTCCATCTGGAGGAGTCACCCCACACACAGTTTTTCAGGAAGGACACCTTCCTGGAGCTTCTGGACCTGGGGTGGAAGAACACTCGCTCACAGAAAGCCTGATCCATCTTGAGAGCCCAGCTCAATGGATCCAGAGTGGTTTCTACAGCCCTTTCCCTTCTCTCTGGGGGTGATCTCCCAGGCCCACAGCATAATAGGATTCTCCTCCCTTCCGTCTCTGCCCCCACATCTGTGTACTCAAGGAGGATGCATTTGCTCCCTTTGCAGCTCATTCTATTTTCACTCACATGCAAGGAATTGCACCCTCTAACCAACCCCTCAGTGGGGTGCGCGCTCTATGTGGGTGCGCTGAATTCTGGGACCTCTCCCACACCACCCCTGCCACCTGAGTTTGTCACATGCACATCTCTCCATTTGTGCGTGACCCATGTATTGCCCCATGCAATGAGTCATACACTGTGTACCCTGGTCACATCCTATGCACATCCATTCTTTTTAAGAGTATCACATGCACAGTGTCCTCCTTCCTCACATGTACTGCACAAAGACCTCCTCTCTGGGGCATAATCATCCCTGTGTCTTGAATGACAATCATCGTGCATCATGTCTCCCCAGACTTGGGAGACCTGGCAGTGGATGGAGCCATGTATGCCCTGGCGGATATTCTCCCTGTTGCTTCCTCCTCCAGGAAGACCTCAAGGCTTGCTGCTCAGAAGCAGGTGAGAGGGGTATGTGGAGGAGTCCAGGATGTGGTCCTAGACTAAGCCCAGGGACAAGGGGCTAGAGAGGGTTTGAAAAATCCTAAGCCCACTCTAGGGGCTGGCAGAGCTCTGGAGACCACCAGGGATGCCTACGACCATGAGGCTGGGTTCCTTGATCTTTGACACTTTTATCTCCATTGCACCCTGGGGCCACCCTAGAGGTCTGTGGGCCCATGATGAGGGAGAGTTCTTTTCTAACACATGAGATCCAGCTATTTGTAGGCAGAGCTCATGCACAGAGTGAGGAAGCCTGCAACCTGCCTGTCTCTACCCCAGGATCCCAGGGCTCTCCAGAACGACCATCCTACCCAGAATAACAGATACGGACAGACAAGCAGACAGCAGGGGTGCGAGGTGGCTCCCCCATCACAGACACAGGCACACACACAGGCCCCTGAAGGGGCTGAACACGGGCAGACAGGGAAGGGGCAGAGAAGGCGGGCAAGCCCAGGGAACCAGAGCCACCAAAGCCCTGATCCCCAGAAAAGGGACAGACCAGGGGACTGTTCAGGTTCCCTAAACATATGGATTGTTTGTCTCGTCTTTAAAGTATTGCAATCTAACTGATATGGCTTTAACTATTGGAAACGGACAGAGAAGACATATGTCTCTCTGAAATAAAAGCATAAATCCACTAAAATGGAAAACCGGCAGGTTGCAAACTGGGGCCAGTGGGGCAGGGGATTTGGGGGCAGGCAAGTCGCCCCCTCCCTGTCCCCTGCTCTTGGGATAGGCCCTGGTGGGGCCCAGCATGGCTTCTGGGGCATGGCCTGGGTCAGACCTAGAGGAATTCTGAGACCACAGGCAGGAACCCCCAAGGATGGGAGGACTCTAGGCCAAGGACAAGGTCTCCTCTTGGATGTGGTAGTCTGGGAGCAATGGTCTTGGGGCTGGGAGGAGTCCTATCACCCATTTTCCTGCACATAACTGCCTTGTCAGACCCACATTGTCTGCACATTTCTGCCTTTTCAGACCCACACTCACACAGACCCACAGCCTGAGCATACCTAACAACTCCTTCCAATGCATACACCCATCCCTCCTGATATACACACACACAAACGAGCACTGACACTCAACTCCTGTGCTTCCCATTTCCAACTGGCACACACGCTCTCCAACATGTTGACATGATAGCTAACACACATAAGCTCCATACACACTTCCAACATACATATATGCACAATACAATCTCTGGCTCCACATAAATTGCTGACAGTCTCGGGCGTGTGCAAACACATTCTCTCCCCCCTCGTTTGTTCCATATCCCTCTGATTCTCACACAACTGGCTGGAAAGGAGGCCTTGACAGTTTAAGGGTGGGGGTGGGAGAAATTCCATACATCCCAGAGGAGAGCTTGTTCTTGGTCAATGAGATGGATGGACAGAGGACTTCTGTCAATGGGAACTGGATTCTCCACAAGGGCTTGGGGCTTTGGCTGGGAAGGGTCCTTCTGGGGCCCAAGGCCCTGGAAGCACATGGATGGGGCAGGATGGGGAAGGGAGGTGGAAAGGAATGGGGGCAGTGTGGCCACGCTGATGAGTTTCTCATGGCATGACCGTTGCTGCCCAATGGCTCCGAGTGTTTTCTGGGGATCCTGGGCAGCCCCTTGGCTGGGCAAGTCGGGCCCAGTCTGGCAGTGGGGCCCCAGGACCTAAGTAGGGTTGGGGGGAGCAGAAGGATGCACTCTGGTGCCCCTCCACAGATGTGCTGAAGTCCAAAGAGGATCCATTTGGAGGGACCGTTTGGCTGGACTATGTTTCTCTGGGCAGGGTTGGGCATCACCAGGGGGAGGGAAACAAAGAGTCCCAGCTTTTTCTCCAGACCCTAGCCTGGCCAGAATTTGCCAGAGCCTTCCAGGCTGTGCCATCATGGAGTAGGCTTACCCCGCTCCCTTCCTTGGACCAGGACATGCAGTGCCCCGCCCTGCCTTCGTGGCCCACTGGTGTTAGCAGCCAAAGTGAGCATGCTGGCAGGACTGGAATGTGTCATTGCTTTGGCTGGCTGGGGACAACGGTCCTCCTGGCAGTGGGGAGCATGAAGGAATGTATGGGGGGTTACTACACCAGGGCCAACTCTAGGCCTTCCGAGAGGGGCCCCAGTGCCTTCAGGTTCAGCAGCCCCTGCTGGGGAAAAAAAATCCTCTTCCCTTTCTCTAGCATCTTGGAAGTCAGGTGGGGCCGGATCTACTGGGATGAAGAGGGTGTGAGGGAATGCTGAGGGGGAGAAGCCCCTGGCCAGGGAAGGGGACAGAGGCCAACTGAGGTTTTCCCCTTCAGAATTGAGACCAAACTGAATTGAAAAGAAAAGAAAAGAAAGAACAAAAAGTAACAAGTGGAGTGGGGCTGGGGACAGGTGGCCAGTTACTTCTTGAACATGTCCTGCAGTGGCCCGGGCAGGTATTTGAGCACCGTGTCCAGGATGCTCTCCTCCTCCTCCTCCTCTTCGTCCCCACAGCCTGCTGGGATCGCCTTCTTGGGCCGGGTCAGGCTCCCCTCACACGGCTGCTCAAGGGCTGCCTTCTCCTCAGCCTCCTTCTCCTCCTTCTTCTTCAATCCATACTAAGGGCAGGCAGGACAGAGATTCAGTGTGAGCAGGGAGAGCAGAGAACTGGGCCATGCAGACTTATGAAAACTGCCTGAGTCTCTCTTTCGTCAGTAGGTGCTCAATAAGCAGCGTACTGTCTATGGATTTCCTCTAAAATTAATACTTGCCCATATGTGACAGCTTATTTGCCAGTTCAGAATTCCTAAAGTTCTGAACACTGAAAGGTTTCCTATGTGTGGAGCCCAACCTGAGTGGCAAAACCTGCCCTGAACCAATAGAAGAATATCTGATTGGCATCTTGGAATCAGACACATTTGAAATGTCTTATTGTAGGGTGATAAGACCCGTAAGTGCTGAGTGTGACCTGGAGCAGTAAGAGGAACTCAGTGTGACCCAGTACTTGCAAAACATTCCTAAATTTTGAACTGTAAATCTCCTGGCCTTAAGGATTGATGGGAGGAGACTGGACCTCTGGCAGCAAGCATCATTGTGTGCTTACTCTGGCCTGCTCTTATTTAATGACTACAATGATCCTTTGGTTTGCAAACCTAAAGGCTAGGAATCCACCCAAGTGGTACACAGAAGCAAAGGCCTGGTCATCTGTTTCCATAGAGATTTCAGCCAAGAAAACCCTATAAAGCATGTGGTAGTTAAGGCTGTGAGCCAACGTGGCAGGACCTTGTAATAGACTTTGAGAGTTATGTAATGATGTGTGGTTCCCCCCCCCACCCCGTTTTGTGATCATCTGCTATAATCACTGCCATGATGCGATCTACTATGAAAAGTCAATTAGTGGAAAGGAAGTTTCCTTGGAGGTGTGGACGGTCTTCATTATGTGTGGACATTCTGGCAAACCTCTCTGGCTCTCTTCCCCCTCGATTTGCAGCCTATGCCTAGCTCATTATCATCTGACCTCTGGTTCTTGGGACTTGAGCCAGTGGCCTGCTTTAGTGCCTGCCAATCCTGGACTCATTAGTAGTCAGCAGCCTGCTCTCTGACCTGCAGCTGCCTCAATCAGAAGAAGCTTCCAGCTTGAAGCTCAACCCATGGACTTGGACTTGCCCACGAGCACCTGAGCTGTTTCCTAGAGATCAGCCTCTCTGGTTAAACACATATTGAGGTGTCACTAGTCTTGTTTCTCTAGAGAACCCGTATGTTCTACTTTGCCACACATGCAGTGTCTATGAGTCAGGACCGACTGGATAGCAACCAACAGCGACTGTAACAACAATCTTCCGAGGGGGTGTTTCTGTCACATCCATTTTCCTGATGGGAAAAATGAGGCCCAGAGGGAACTAGGTTTAAGGTGAACGCTGGGATTTGGGAGGTCTGCACTGGAGTTTCTGGGTTCGGCTGCATTTGACCCCATAAGCCCACCCCAGCTGCCCTGCTGACCTTGTCTCGGATCTGCTGCCGGACTTTCTCTCGCTCCGCCTCCATGCGCGCATGCTTGGCTTTGCGCTCTTCCTCCTGCTGCCGCAGGGCCTCCTGTCGTTCCTCCTCCTTCTTTTGCGCATCTGGGTCTTTCTCCTCTTCTCCCCCCAGCATCTTGCCCATGTCTTTGGTGGCCCCTACAGGGGTGAGGTGGAAGAGAAGAGGACAAGGTCAGCCTTGTGGCAGAGGCCCTAGGGAGAAAAGGGCCCTGTGACTCTCTCTCCTTTGGGTGGGTCCTGAGGATGCGGGCCTCACCTCCAAGGGCCTGCTTCATGACAAAGTCCATGTTGTTGGTTCCGTTTAGAGTGCGTTAGCCCACGGCTGAATTTGCGTACAGGACTCCCCAAAACTCTGGCTCTGGAAGGTGTGCAGATCTGCAAAAGAGGATTTGAGAATCATATGTCACAGATCTCTGAGTGGGCAGGGTAGTAGAGTTCGGTCGACTCACCAGGGTCAGGACTGGGGGGACCATCATGTGAGACTAGGATGCTCTGGTACTCAGGGAAAAGGAAAAGCGCTGCTAAATGGAACATGATGTGCCACGGGCCCCTGCGTGGTACAAAAGTTTTGTGCTCTACTGGTGGCCTGGTAATAAGGAGCTGAGTGGCAGTTTTAGCCCACCAGCTGCTCTATGGGAGAAAGATGAGCAATTTCCTCGCATGCAATTTACTGCCTCTGAAAACCTCCTGGAGGTCAGCTATGTGCTGGCTCACACTTGACAGTATACAGTAACAACTAACTTAAAGATTAGTGGCTTGAACACAATAGCAGCACCACGGAAGAAAGGCCTGGTGATCTGTTTCTGTAAAGATGACAGCCAAGAAAAAAGGATAGAGCAGTTTTACTCAGTGGATCTCCATGAGCCAGAATCAACTTGACCGACACTGGTTTGCCTTGTTTTGTTTGTTATGTGCCAGGCACCTATGTGCTACCAAGCAGCTTCTAATATCTAGTTTAAAATCTTCACCTTAACCCTATTGCTCTAACTGATTGAACCCTGGTGTACTGGAAAGAGCCTGGGATCTGGACTCAGGCAGAGCTGGTTCTAATACCACTTTCATTCCTTATTTTCCACATGACCTTCAACAAGTCACTTCACTTTCCAAGTCCTGGTTTCCTCATCTCCGAAATACAAACAGACAGCAGTGTCTAGCACTATCTATTCCTAGGGCTACTGTGAAGTGTGGATAGAAAGCCAGCCTCAGCTTGCACCTTGTTGTTGTTGTATACCGTTGACCTGGAACTGACCCTTAGCTGACCCTCTGGCAGATTTTCAGAGGCGGTTAATTGCACAGGAGGAGATTGCCCATCTTTCTCCCACAGAGCAGCTGGTGAATTTGAATTGCATGCCACTGGGATTGCAACACAGCTGCTTTTTTTTTAAAAAAAAATTTCTTTTATATTGTTTTATAGAGGTTGTTTTTCAACCGTATCTTTCCATTTCCTTTATCAACCCCTCCCTCCATTCATAAAATTGTGCCACCCTATCTATGATTAACACCCTCCCACCCCCTCGCCTCCCATCCGCACCCCTCTCCTCTGCTCCCCCCCTCGAATCCTTATGTATGTTCTACAATAATGGTCTTATACAGTATTTGTCCTTAAGAGACTGAGCTAGTTCACTTAGCATAATGCTCTCCAGTCGCTCCCAAGTTAGATAGTGATTTACAAAATCATTACTCCTGCATGCTGTGTCATACTCCACGATGAGAATGTACCACCATTTCTCAATCCATTTGATTGTGCAACACAGCATTTTAGCACTAGGCCACCAGAGCCCCCTCGGCACATGCCTGTTGTTATGTGCTGTCATGTTGACTCTGACTTTTAGCGACCCTGTGTACAACTGCTCTGAACTCTGCTCTGTTCTGAGCCAATTTCATCATCTCTGACCCCATTACCCCAGACACTGAGTCAATCCATCTCATTCAGGGTCTTCCTCTTATGCACTGTCTCTCCACAGTTCTAAGCATGATGTCCCTATCCCAGGACTGGTTCCTTCTTGCAACATGCTCAAAGTAAGACGCCACAAATCAGAGACAAGTGAAAATATAAGAACATTCAGCTTCAGTGAACATATCTACACTTTGAAAATGAGACCCGTGGAGATGTACATTATTTTTAAATGCAGCTTATGTGAAAGTTTTGTGTTTTATGTTTTAATATTGATTTTTTATTTTAAATTACTCATTGGGGAATGTCAGAAGCATCCTAATCTCTTTTAGGGACTTAGGGCTTTGAAAGTACCTAATACAGAACATTGTAGTTGCTCAGCTAATGTCCATTCTCCTTTCCTTCTCCCCAGATCACTTTCTATTATATTGTTTCGTTTCAGCAGGATTTCTCCAAATAGAATCTTAACAGGAATCTAATAGGCAAACAGCGTGAAAGTAGAACTACTCCAGGGATCGTGGCGGCAAGAAAGGGAATTGAGAACCTTCTTCCCATCCTCCATCTACACCTTAGATATTTGGACTCTGGTGCTCTCCCCACTTCCCTACTGAGTTGGAGTCAACTTATAACTGACCTTCTAGTGGGTTTTTAGAGGTTGTAAATTTCATGTGAGGACTTTCTCCCATGGAATCGCTAGTGGATTGGAACAACCTACCTTTGGGTATGCAGTTCAACTCCTTATCCACAAGACCATGAGAATACCCTTTAACTCCTATAGGCCTTTGTATTTTCAGTCCAGCTTCACAGTTTCTTTAACGACAAAACCACTACAAATCCTTTTGGGTGTAAATGGGGACACCCATGAGCTATTCAAAGAGTTCCTTAAACTGATGGCCAGCTGAGGTCAGGCCTATTCCTCCAGGCCTTTCAATCTCACAATGCCTTGAAGTCTTTATGGCTTGGCTAGGAAGAACAAAAGGCCTATGGGTTGTGCAAACAGTTGAAACTTAACAACTAACCTCTGGGTTGGTGGTTTGAACCCATAAAGTGGTGCCATGGAAGAAAGCCTTGGGGATCCACTTCTGCAAGGATTACAACCAAGATAGCCTCGTGGAGCATTTCTACTCAATAACACACGGAGTCATAGGCTTTTGGTTTTGGGAGAACGAGGGATCTTGAGAAATGGTAGACAAGTCAGGCTGGATATTACAATGAGTTTGAGTTCAAGGTTGATGGCTGTTCACTGAGAGTGTGTTTTTTCTCATTTTTTCAAAATGAGAAAACTTACTGGAAGGTTGGGATCTTTCCTGATTATAGTGCCCGAGAGCCCATTTGAGAATGCCAATAGGGTCAGACCACCTGCTAGGTAATGGGAGGGAAAAAAACCAACTCTATCCTTGAGTTTTGGAATCAGACACCTCTATTTTAAAACTCTGGTGTCAGCGCTTACCTGCTGTAGGTACCTGTGTGTTTTCTGTAAAATAGAGGAGCATTAGGGCTGCCCTTGTATTGATGTGTGAAGGAGAAGAGAAGGTATCAGTCAAGTGTCTGATGTCTAGATGCTCATAAAATGCCAGTCATCATTGACTACATATCTATGAGGACAAGCCAGAAAAATGACAAAGCTTTCTAGGAAATGTAAGGGAACTCAATTAAGACCCAGAATCCTGAGCTTGAAGGTTTGCTCAGTTCTGCCAATCAGATGTTGTCATTTGCTTGAAAACATTATAAAAAGGCAGCATTTCGAAGAACAGGAAAGGAAACATTTAATCGTTGAATGATTTCAGGACCCATTGGTTCCTACTCTGTGTTTACATGGAGCTCAAGGAATTTCCAGGTGGTGGTGGAGGATGCAGGACTCTAATTTGAGATGCTTCAAGTTGCTCGACAGGACACCTGGGCTTTCATCCAGTTTCATCTTTAACTTGTTAGGGGACTCTGACAAGTCTCTTGCTTGGACTAGATCATCTTTCAGATCTTTCCCAGCTGAACTGTTGAACACTCAACCCCCCACTGCCGCCACCGCCCGTTTCCTTAAGCTCCTGTAGTCTCTTGCTTCTGTGCCTGGTACCTTTCCTCTCCCAAGCCCCCATCTTAAACTGCTCTTTATTTCTGTTGCTTTTGCTGGCTTTTCTTCCCCCTCCCTTTCTTAAATAGTCTCATTCCTCAAGGTGCTTCTCTCAGTCCTTACGTCTGTCCCCCTTTTCCTCTCTACTTTTTCTCTGGGGAAGTTTATCCATGCCAGGGGTTTTACTGGCCACTTGTACAGATGACACCCCTCTGCACATCTTTTTGCAGATCTGGCTTTTCCTTTAGTCTTACAAAAGCTGTCTGCCGTACTGATAGAGATAGAGGGGTCTTTACTTCCTTCACACCTAGACTTTTCTTCTGGGTTCCAGACCCCATATTCATTCATTTAATAACTCACTAATTCATCAAATAGTAGTTGAGCAATTATGATGTGCCAGAAGTGTGTTAGGCACTGGGAGGTATCAGTGACAAAGACAGGAAAAAAAATCCTGCCGTCTTGTAGTTGACATTCTGGAGTGTGTAAGTGCATAGGCGTTGTGAATGTGTGTGTAGGGAAACAGGCAATAAATAAGTCACTAATTAAATCAAGAAATATATCCACTTTCCTCTTGGACATCGCCCCCCAGTGCCTTTTTTCTATTATTGAATCATCTCTTCTTCCAGACTCTGCATCTATGTGTTCATTCAGCAAATAATCATTTCATTCTCCTTTCCATAGTGCGCAATCCTTCATTCTTGTGGTTTGCACTCTTATCCTGCTGGGATTATTTAACTGAGCCTCTCGGGTCCACCTCAAAGCCCTGCTGTGCAATTGTGGAGCATGGCCCTCTCTGCTGCCAAGCAATCCCTGCATTTATTCTGTCCAGACACCTCTAACCAAGTCCAAGTTTCTCAAGGTGCAACCTCTTCCAACCCATTGCTCTCAGTAGGTGACTCACCTGCCACTTAGTGTGGTGCAGTGGAAGGGTCTGGGCTCTGGGGTCAGGAGCACCTGACTGAGGTCCCAAATCTGATCCTTTTAAACTGTAGCATAGTGGGTAATTGACATAACCTCTCTGAATTCAGTGAGGCTCATAACATTTCTTTGAAAGACAAAGAAGAATCTATCTATCTCCTCTTGAATTACGAGACACAGCACTCTGTTGGGTACAAGATGAGTGTTCAGTACACGGTGGTGATAATCCTTATTCAAATGATTGCTACCAGCTAATGCAAGCTTCTGCAACCTGCTCTCTTCTTTGGTCCCGGTCCTGAGGAAGAGGTTTCCCTGTTCTGGCTGAAGCCAGTCCAACTGCCATCTCACCTCACTTTCTTCTTGATCCACCCATCATCTCTTCCTCCCATCTTCTTCAAGGTTCCTTTTGGCTCCTCCTTTCTCTATATCTTTCCCCGGACCT